CGGAAACTAAAGGAGACATACAAAAACGGAGAACGCCATTTCTAAGATATTGATTAGTTTTATATGACTGCATCACTAACTAAATTTTTGGGGAACCATAAGTCCCACGAACTTGAAATTTGGTATGCAGACATATCAATGGTAGGTGCTTATAGGAGGGTATATATAAAGGAGTTTGTAAAAGTGGGCATGGTACATCCCATAGACGCGGAATTTTTTATCAGCTATAACTTCGGAACGATAAGTCTCACGAACTTGAAATTTGGTATGCAGACATACAAATTGTAGGTGCTTATAGGAGGGTATATATAAAGGAGTTTGTAAAAAAGGGCGTGGCACACCCCATAGGCGTGGAATTTTTTATCAGCTATAACTTCGGAACTATATGTTAAACGAACTCGAAATTTGGTATGCGGACATTTCCATGGTAGGTGCTTTGAGGATGGTATGTATAAACGAGTTTGTAAAAGGGGCGTGGCACATCCCGTAGGCGTGGAATTTTTTATCAGCTATAACTTCGGAACCATAAGTCACACGAACTTGAAATTTGGTATGCAGACATATCAATGGTCAATGGTAGGTGCTTATACGAGGGTATATATAAAGGAGTTTGTAAAAGGGGGCGTGGCACACCCCATAGGCGTGGAATCTTTTATCAGCTATAACTTCGGAACTATAAGTTAAACGAACTCGAAATTTGTTATGCAGACATTTCCATGGTAGGTGCTTTGAGGAGGGTATGTATAAACGAGTTTGTAAAAGGGGCGTGGCACTTCCCATAGGCGTGGATTTTTTTATCAGCTATAAGTTCGGAACCATAAGTCCCACAAACTTGAAATTTGGTATACAGACATATCAATGGTAGGTGCTTATAGGAGGGTATATATAAAGGAGTTTGTAAAAGGGGGCGTGGTACATCCCATAGACGCGGAATTTTTTATCAGCTATAACTTCGGAACTATAAGTTAAACGAACTCGAAATTTGGTATGCAGACATTTCCATGGTAGGTACTTTGAGGGGGGTATGTATAAACGAGTTTGTAAAAGAGGTGTGGCACATCCCATAGGCGTGGATTTTTTTATCAGCTATAAGTTCGGAACCATAAGTCCCACGAACTTGAAGCTTGGTGTGCAGACATACCAATGGTAGGTGCTTATAGGAGGGTATATAAACACGATTTTGCAAAAGGGGCCGTGGCACATCCCATAGGCGTGGAATTT